ACAAACAGGAGAATGTAAAGGGGATAGATGGCAGCAGTGACTTTTGTCTTAAATAAGAGAGACAGGAAGGCATCTTTAAAAGTAAACGTGTAGGGGGACATGGGGAGCGGGTTTCTCACCAAGATAATAAAATATAGAGGTATTTTTCCTAAGGGAGACAAGGAAACATCTTTAAAAACAAATATCTAAGGGGATAAGAAGCAGGCTCCTCAAGGAGAGTGGCACAGCAAGCTCACACCAACATAGCAAAAGGGAGTTAAAAGTGTAAATGGCGAGACTCACCAAGATAACAAGAAGCAGTTATAAAATGTAGGTGGCAGTCCTCAAGGACAGGATGGACTAACAAGACTCTCTTGGAATGTCCAGTTTCATAAGGATTGGGTGGCAGGAGGGCAGCCAAATGGTCAGCTTCAGTGAGAATAACCAATGTAGTTTCAAAGTAGACTAGGGGGAGCCTAAGTCAGAGCCCTATATTATCTCCTATACTTCAGCCTTTCTTTGGCTTGGCTCTTTCACTAAGTCCTACTCATTTGGGTGCTTTGCTGTTCTTTCAATAAACTTTGTGCTTGCTTTACTCTTAACTCCTGGGCCCTTCAATCATGGACTTCACTGGGACACAAACTGGAGATGAACAATCCGGTATCATTCCTACACAGTTATGTTCAATAAACAGGTCAGAGTGCTCTGCTGACTCTTAACTCTATTTTTTTATTTCTCAACCTCAACTTATTAGGAAACTTATTAGGAAAAAAATGCCTTCGCCCACTCCCCTTGGTCACCTGCCAACACAACAATCACTCCCAATGACACTCAGCAACCCACTTCCGGTGACTCACAAGCTCAAACCCACACCGGCCTTATCCATACCGGCCAGGAAAGTGTTGACTTCAGATACCAAGTGGAGAAATGAGATGCTACTAGAGACCTTTGCACTTGTACCCTGCGCTGCTGCAGGCTGCAGAAGCAAGACTTGGTCCCTCTGCATCATGGACCCCTGCACTTGCCTGCAGCTTGTTCTCTAACCTTAGGAATCCCAGTCTCTGGACTGTATTTTGCAAGCACACCAAGGGTTAAGAACTTTATAAATGCTCACACCTGGACCCCTTCCAACCCAGAAATTCTGATATAATAATCCGGTGCCGCCCAAGCATCAGAAATTTTGAACTAATGAGAAATCTCGGCTCCATGAGTCCAGTCTCCACGATCCATTTTTGTTAATTATCATATTACTATTATACTGGGGGTGCTTTGTGACATTTACAAAAGTGCTTACAATATATCATAAATTCAGCCCCTTCATCCACGCTGCAAGGTGCACACTCAACTAACTTTGCCTGCCTGGGAAAAGAAGAAAAGACCGCGGGCCCACGTGGCGCGCGTGGCCCCACCCCCCGCGCGGGCGCAACGGTCCCACCCTTGGACTTGGACTCTTGGCGGCGGAATAAACACCTGAACCTCGCTGAGCTTCCAGCTGTGCAATCTGGTGCTTCTGACCGATTTCTCCGCACCAGGCAGAGAAGGCAGTGTGCGTCCAAGGTGAGTTGCGGAAGTCGTAGTTCCCTGGGGCTGGCTTCATGGAGAGGGTGTTAGCCAGCTCCGCGTCCCCGGCCCAGGTGATGCGGCTTCAACGCGGGCGCGCGCGCAGTGGGACGCGGGCTGGGGAGCCGCGGGCCAGTTCCCATAGCCCGCCGAGTCCCCGAGAGCCCCGCGCCTCCAGGGGAACGCACGGTGGCAGCATCCTCAAAACCCAGGCTCTGCGACTGCAATCCCCGACCCCTGCAGGGATGAGCTGCCAGCTGCCCTCCCCATCCAGAGCCGAGAGCGTGGAACCTCCCTGAGGTTTCGGCGTCCATTCTGCCCAAGCTCCCCCTGCTCTCTGCTGATCCGCGCCTGCTCTCCCGTTGCTCACCGCCTGGAATTGAGCAGAAACTGTGATTGTCCATCTGCCCCCCGCCCCCCACCATCTGCTCGCTTGGAGCTTGACCCGGGCAGAATTGCTGCTGCACGCCCTGCTTTCCCGGAGTTGAGTTAGCTCAGCTTTTGGATAAGAGAGCTGTGGGATGAATATACCAAAGAAGTGCTCACCCTGATTAAATTCAACACGCTGTGTCTTCCTAAGAGTCTTTACAGTAAACTAGGAACATACTTTTTTTACTTTCACTTGTAAGTATACTTTCTACAACCATCTTTCAATGATAGAGCCAGGGATGGTTAATCCATATTCTAGCGCAACTACCCATCATATAGTTATAGTGAATAATTATTTTGCTGCCATTATGGGCCAGGCACTGTTCTAGCAAGGCATCGCATTTTAGTTGTGTCACCTTATGGGGCCTGGGGAGTAGAGGGGAGATGGTATGCAACCTAGGAAAGGCTGATATCCAGCCAACTCCTCCTCACCTCTCCCCAACCCCGTGCACCCTGCAGAGGGCTGTGTGCAGGGCTATGCCTACCTTTATTTTTTCCTGATTTGTTCCGACATTTTATATGGACTAGTAGGGACTATCAAATGCTCCTTAATCCTTTGCCTGCATGAATTCGTTTACTCCCTCCACTCCCTGTGTAGTGAGTGAGTAGTGGATGAGCTACTAGAATCCCCATTTTTCTTTAGAGGAAGAAGCTCAGATTCCAGAGATGAAATAATTTTTACCAAAGTTGCAGAAAAGAAAGTTGCATCTGAAAGGTGCAGAATTCCAACCCAGACATTAGTCACCAGCCAGCACTGCATACGTGGGTACACAGAGGCATGCTGATCCTGATGGAGACCATGTCATGCCGAGAGATAAACTATGGATTTGTTCCAGGTCAAGCATGGGGCTGATATTGAGACAGTAAAGTACTTAAGTTTGGAAAGCCCTAGCATTAAGAGTTTTCATGTCACCTAGGTCAATGATGAGACTCCTGGCCATCACCGTAGCGCTGGAGACCACTGGGTAGACCTCTGTCTTTCTGCCAGTGACTCATAGAATGATGTGAAAGGGGGCATGGAGACCTGGCCAGGTCTCCTGGTGTGGATTTTCTAATTGAACAAGTGTTTGGCAGTGTGCACCCTGGCACCCTGGCAGGTCTGCAGGTACACATACAGTTCTCCTTCGGGCCATCTTCTTCTCAGGTTGCCCAGGAGGCACTCAATTGTCTGAAAGTTTCTCTGTGGAAATAAATCAGAGCAAAACTGGCAGAGTTTTAGACTGTAGCATCTAAAACATGATGAAGCCCAGTGTTCCACAGCTAAGAACACTCTTTGACCAGAATGCCCAGGCCACCCCAAACCAGCATTCTTATTTCCTACAGAGCCCTGGATGCACAGATCATCTGGCCTTGAGTCTAGAACTATCCTGTCCTCTGCCAGGCAAAACTACGGCCCAGTCTCTCTACTTCCTGCCATTCACCATTTGCATAGTCACCTAAAGATTGCTTCCCAGCAAGCCTTCCCCCATTGCTTCTTCCCAGGCCCCAGCATACATCAGCTCTCCCTTTACCACACTTTTCTTGATGCCACTACTGCTTGTGATGATGGAGTTGTCTGTTTTAAGTTCTTTCTCTTCAACTAGTCCAGTTAGATCACCAGGGCAGAGATTATGAGAGGCTGCTACCCCTCAGCCCCAGGGCCCAGACTACTCTGGGGTTGTTGCTCAATAAACATAATGAACCAATCTGGCCCTACATGAACTAGCACAGGGACCTTGGACAGGTCACATACATACTCTATCCAATTATTAGTGTCATCTGGAGAATAGTCCAAAACAAGTTTAGGTGACATTTGGCATTTCCAACGGATCTGGTCATGTGCCAAGCACTCCTATAGATGAATTTGGCCACCCACAGTCATTAATAGCAGCTCATTGGTCCTTAGTCAATTCACAAAGTGAAGACTAACTGCTCTCTTGTCACCCTCCTTACATCTCCTGACACCTAGACCCTACCTGAGCCTCACAATTAAACACCCCATTTAGGAAGTCCCCCACCTACCTCCCCCAGCACAGTTTGCCCCCTGCTAAACATGTCTTCTTATCCTGTAGGAAATAAGATCTTCACTTCTTTCTCAGCCAGTTGTTAGTAAACTATCTTAGGAACTCATTTTCACTAAAGTGTGAGTAATTGACAGCAGGACTGTAAGTCTGGAGCCTTTTTTATTCACTAAGGAAGCTGTTGGGTGCCTTTATGGTAAGAATCACTATGAAGCTGAGAATCATGATAGCATCTCTAAAGCACTTCCTGTGAGCTAGGATTGTGGTCAGTCGTGGAACATTCCCACCTCCTCTGCAGAACCATCCCATGCCACAGGACTGGACAGATGAGGAAACTGAGGCCCAGAAAGGACGAGTAGCCTGCCGAGGCTTCACAGCTAGGCAGAGGTAGAGCAGGGCAGGAGATTGTCTCACCTGGTCCTGAAAGTGATGGGGAGCTGGTGGCCCACAGTCCTGGGAAAGGGATTTGAGGTGCTGATGTGGAAAAGGTTTAATGCATCTGTTCACTTCTCTTTAAGCACTTTATACTAACAGGATTTTACATCTTCCTCTTTTATCTCACATTTTAAAAAGCAATGCAAACCTAATGAACCACAGTGCAATTGAGAGAGCACAAACCTAAAAGGAAACAAAAATAAAACCAGAAAGAAAACAGTGATGTCGCAAACATCGTGATGTGACCAATACTTGAACATCAGATCAGCCAACAAGACTCATGGTTATGTGAAAAAAGATTAGCTAGGAGGAGTTAATGAGTGTGCCCTTTGGGTTAAATCTGGACATGGTGGCTGTAGTTTCTGGTTAACAAACATTTCCGTCAGGTACAGCACATAGCAGGCATGCAGATATATATGCGGAGCTTGAGACTATGTGTGAAATCCGGACAAGATACCATCCCTGTGGTTCCTGCCCTTTTATGAGTTACCGGGAAAAATGTTTAGATCACGCCTCTCAATTGCTTTCTTTACTTCAGAAAGTAGAACTCCTTCTAGTAAGCAAACTCTCTCTTATTTTATAGGTGCCGGCTACAACATGTCTTCCTGTCTGAAATCAACAAAGGAATTGCTTGTTTTCTTAGGAAAATCACTGTTTAGTATTCTAGAGGCTCTGGTTTTTACTTTAATCCCAAAGCCACTGAAGAATGTTGCTGGTGAAATAGTCCTTATAACAGGTGCTGGAAGTGGACTCGGGAGGCTCTTAGCCTTGCAGTTTGCCCACCTGGGATCTGTGCTTGTTCTCTGGGATATCAGTTCGGAGACGAATGAGAAGACAGGCCAGATGGCTCGGGAAGCTGGAGCCACAAGAGTGCATGTCTATACCTGTGACTGTAGCCAAAAGGAAGAAATATACAGAGTGGCTGACCAGGTAAGTCTTAGAGACTTACTGGGCTTGGTGGATGATGAAAACCTTATGCAAATACTTTGGCATACATCAGTTTTGTTGTTCATTTGCCTTTTTCAGCACCTATTTGATTGTCTCCAATGTCCCTGTACCTAAAAAATATTGTAGGGGAGCTGAGTATAGTGACTTATGTCTATAATCCTAGCTACTCAGGTGGCAGAGATCCGGAGGATCACAGTTTGATGCCAGCCTGGGAAAAAAGTTAGTGAGAACTCAAACTAATAAAAAGCACACATCTGTCATCCCAGCTACACAGGGAGCATTAACAGGAGGATGGTCCAGGTGAGACCCTATTTGAAAAGTAATTGAAGCAAAAAGGGCTGAGAGCATAGCTCAAGTGATAGAGTGCCTGCCTAGCAAGCATGAGGCCCTGAGTTCAACTCCAGTACCACAAAAAAAAGAATATATATGTATATGTATATGTTTATATATATATAGTCTTTAATATAATATATGTTAATATATAATGAGAATGAGAATTAGGATTTAGGATTTTTGAGTTTTTACTGTATGTATTATATTATGTCATAAACACTATGAAGTAAAATATCATTGTCCCTTTACACAAATAAGGACACTAAGGCTTGGGGCAGGCATGTAGCGTCTCTAATCAGTAGCAGAGCTACAGGCAGGACTTGAGCTACCACCACTGTGCTCACTGTACTGACTTATCGCAGTATAAGTAGAAGGAGAACATGTAACATCCCTCTTTGAGTATTAAGAAACAAACCTTGACTTCCCTGCCCAGGGTCACAGAACTAGTCATCACTGAGCCAGGGTTTGCACCCATATTTAGTCCAATTTTAAATCCAGGCTATGTTCACCACATGCCTCTCATTTGGGTGAGTTTTTCATAAGTAGTCATAAGAAAAACAGAATACTATTCCTAAAGACTCTTAAGTACATTTGCTTATTTGGTGATTATACAAATACACATATAAAGAAACTTTGAGGAAACCAGAGTTCTCGTATGCTGATGGCAAGGCAGTTCTTACCTCACAGGGGCACATCCCTTTCCCTCAATATTTCTGTGCCTCACATTGGCATACATATGCCAACACATCACTCTCTTGGGCCACTTTGTTTGTGGCCTCCAGAATTGCCTAGCTGAGTGAAAAGGGAGGAACCAGACAAGCTTGCTGAGCATTTTGCATAGTTCTACCCTAGTTTCTGGGCTGTGTCAGGATTCACTTGCTACTTCCTCACTTATTGGTGTAAAGGTTTGCAGGTCCCAGCCAGGAGAGTTTTCTTACCATCAGCTCCAATCACAGCTGCCCACCCAGTACAGCCTGGAGATCCAAACCTGATCAGCTCACACAGGCTTATGCTGAAACCCCCCCACTTCCAAGTGCAGCCCACCTCCCAAATTCAGCAGGAAGCACCATCACCTAGCATGCAAGCCAGCACAGAGGCACACGTACAACACACAGCTGGAGGGGAGACATGGCACTGTTGTGAGCCTCTTCAGAGAGCACGGCAGCTGCAGGGGAGACAGTACCCCTCCTGTCACAAGTCCTAGAAAGACTCATGCCCACTGCTCACAAAGGAGCCAAGATGGCACACTGAAAATTTGTTAGGAGGGAAGGACTCAATGTTACACCTAGAATTTTTACTTGCCACATAAAAGTGATTGAATACCTGTTAGGCTGGTATTACAGCAACAAATGTGACTCATATGTCTTAATGCCTAAAAGTTTGATGTGGAGAAAAAGAAAACCAGTTTGTTGAGAAAAACAGGACAGGCAGATGCCAGTCTGTGCTGTGTGTTTTAAATATATATTATCCTCTGTTCCCAACCCCACCCTGTCTCTGTATGTGCTAGCTCTTATCCTGTATGCTCTCTGGTTATAATAAAACTATTGTTATCTGCCACTCATTGATTAAGATTGTACATCACTCATGTAGAACCCAGAACAAAGGTACTAATCACAGAGTACAAGAACAGCTCTAAGGGTAGAAGGGAAGTACAATTTCAGCACTGGGACCCCCCTAGCAGAAAGTAAAGCATTGAATCAAATCTCTAGCATACTACAGACACTGCAAAGGAAATAAAATAGTAAGTTTTTTAAAGGCATAAATTCGGTCTGAGTTAAAGATTTTTAAAAAATGTAAGATTATGGGAAAATAAAACCTAGATCATATAAGGAATCACTCCTTTGGGGGTGTTGCTTCTGTTATTCAACTCAGGTTAAAAGAGAAGTTGGTGATGTTTCCATCCTGATCAACAATGCCGGAATTGTAACAGGCAAAAAGTTCCTGGACTGCCCAGATGAGCTTATGGAAAAGTCATTTGATGTGAATTTCAAAGCACATTTATGGGTAATCTTTTCATATTCTTATGATAAGTGTGAAATTACTGTGGCATGCTGAAGTACTCTCCTTTTTCTCTTTCACAGCATGTGAATAAAGCACAGACATTGTAAATTTGTGTGTGTATGTGTGGTACTGGGGATGGAATGGAATGCAGAACCTTATGCAAGCTAGGCAAGCACTCTACCATTGAGCTGTACCCCTGCCTAGCCATTTTAATTATGGACTTCCTCCCCTCTCTTCTCCCCTCCCTCCCCTCTCCTCTCCTCTCTTCTCCTTTCCCCTTCTCTCCTCTTTTCTTCTCTCTCTCTCTCTCCCCCCCACCCAGGGAGGCCTCCAACTTGAGATCCTTCTGCCTCCACCTCCTGAGTGCTAAGATTACAGGTGTGTGGCACCATGCCCACCCTCAGTTATCCTCTCTTGATCAACTTGATATACAGCTCCCAGAAGCTGTGCTGTCTCCTTCAGAGACAGAACTATCCTCATAGTGGTACTATCATTTGATTGCCGACAAATGTTAGGGACTATCCCAGGTGACTCACATATATATATGGTCAACCCTCTGTATTTCAAGATCCACATCAATGGATTCAGTCAACCACAGATGAAAAGAATTTTTTAAAAAACTGTGTCCATACTGAGCATGTACAGATTTTTCCCTTGTCATTATCCCTAAATAACATAGTATACCAACTATTCTAATCCCATTTACACTGTATCTGGCATTATAAATAACCTAGACGTGATTTAAAGTACATGGGAGGATATGCATGGGTTATGTGCATTTTATATAAGAGATGAGCCTGTGTGGATTTTGGTATCTGTGGGGTGTTCCTGGAGCCAGTCCTCCTCCCCAAATACTGAGGGATGACTCCATTCCTTAAAACAGTTCAGTGAGATCATAGAACTGAAAAGATTTGGTCAAGCATACATACAAGTGGATGTACTTAGACATGGCCAGGGTAACTCCATTATTTGCCTAAAAAGAGATACTTTTGAAAATGAAAGGGGACATTACTAATAAGCAAGCACTAACCAGGTCTGTTGTGGGCAAAGCAAGTCCTTACTCAGTGTATTTAGTATATAATAGAAGAAGGAAGAGGTTCTCCAGTAGGTCCACAAACCACCAGCTCTAAGGGGTGGGACACAGCATTACTTACTCCCAGAAGTTGGAAGTCTATTTTCCTGGCCTTTGCTGTGGACTCTGCACACCAAGCAAGTGACCTCTTGCTGTAGCTCCCAGTTTTTGATCCATTTGGTTCTAGCCCTGCTCATATCTCATTATTCCCTTGGCAAGACTCTCTCCTTGTAGGAGTATTTGCTGAAGATCTCTGAGCTCCTTTCATTCTCCTTGCACCTTTCCTAACTCTCCTTCAGCAGCCTTCAAATGTTATTTGGAGTTTATATGTTTTCTGCCTTCTGATCTCATCAAAAATATAGTGGTGCTGCTGGATTTGTAGTGTCCTGTATGGTTTGGGGGAGAAAAATCAAAGATCCAGAACTCAGTGACCACAGTGTTCCTATAGGAACCACTGCAAATGATTTGGCCCGTGCCAAATTGCCTCTTCTTTGTAGTATGTGTGTGCACACTTACATACATAAAGGGAGTGGCCTTGAGTCTAACTGTGGTTCTGTATAGGTTAATCCCCTTTGAATTCTCTGCTCTTGAGGCTTTCATGTCCTTTCCCTTCCTTTGTTTTTCCTCAGTCTCATTTTTCTCTTCTCTTTCTCTTCTAATTCCTTAAATGTTGATGTTTCCTGGCTCCTGCCATTCCCATATACACACTTGTTCATTCTTTCTGGGCAAGTTCACTTGTTTTAACTCTTGCATGTGACCAAGCATAGAGTTTGTGACTTAATTGCTGGAGGGTCAGAGAACTGTGGGATGGCAGCCAGTGTCCCAACTAAGAAGCAGGAGGAGTCTCCTCCCAGATCCCCAGTGCTCTGCATTGGGCTGTGCTGACTCCTTTTTCTTCCTTTTGATCTTCCACCTCTCTGAAACAGTGCAAGCAAGCAAATGAAGGAGGTTGGCCTTTGCAAAGGATCCCTTTTCTACACTTCTATGTCCACATGTGTGGTCAGTTAACTTCTTTGTTGCCTGAGATATCTTCCTCAAAAATCATTGCTCACTCTTGCACCTCGTTTCTCCAGGTCCCCAGTCAAAAGTAAAGGTGTTCTACTGAACCAAGACACAGCTTAAGCCTCCTCTTTCTAAAAAATGCTCGATTTTATGAATTAGAATTAAAATAAATTATTATTCAAAGAAATGGAGATACATTTAAAACAAAGTGATCTTTTTTTCATGGAAACCAACATCAGAAAGTTTTGTGAACAGTGTTGAGGAAAAGTTTCAAATTCAAAATTAAACTAAAAGTGGGCAATAATTTAGCTAAACAATCAGATCTCTAAGTACTCTTATTGGTGTTTGGATTATGATTGCCACACTAAGATTTCCTACACTATTTTAATTACTGTCTTAATGTTGTGTTGCTAAAAGACACAAAGGAGCAAAAACATAAATCTGAATAAGTAATTTTTAATTATATTTAAATTGCCATAGGAAGATATTAACAAGTTAAAATGGTTGCTTTCCACGTGCTTTTAAGTTTTCATGCCCCTATTCCTTTAGGCATTTTTATGAACTAAAAAATCTTTTTAGTCACAGTAATCACTGAGAAAAGCATACAACGTGCCATAAATGTTAAAAGTTTTTCTTTGCTCTTTTTAGACTTACAAAGCCTTTCTTCCTGCCATGGTTGCTAACAACCATGGTCATTTGGTTTGCATTTCAAGTTCAGCTGGATTAGTTGGAATAAATGGACTGGCAGGTAAGAGAAATTCCTATACCCTTAACTTACCTGATAACTTAGAGTAATGAGCATTGACTTAATACCCTAATAAAACGGGTTAATAAAGTAAGAGATCTTGTCAGTAAGGTAAGTGGTGAAGAACATCCTTGTGCAACCACACTGCCCTTCCGATAGATTTACATGTAGCTGAACAGTGCCCTTTGGAATCATTAGATCTTATGCAGTTCTCTGGGTTTAAAAGAGAGAAAGACAGAGACCTCACTGATACATATTTTTTGCTCAAGGGATCAAATTCACCTGGCACTGGCACCAGATGATAAGGAGCACTCTGCCTTCTGAAGTTTCCATTAAATGGTTTCCCCTGCTGGGAATTTGGAGAGTGTTTCTTCAACCCAAGAAAATTAAAATTAATTTTTGCTTTTCTACTGGTTGAAGATGAGCAGGAAGTGACGGTTATTTTCATCTCCCTTGCAACACCCAACTGACTTGACGATAGCAGTGGGCAAGTAGGGAAGAGATAACACTAAGATCTTTGGCCAAGTAGGCCTGACTCAGGAGCTGACTCTAGGAGGAGCAGAAACCTTGACCAGGGTTCCCATAGAGCAAATGCCCCAGGTCCTGGCTTCTGCAGATAGTTGCAACTCATCCAACAGAACGGTAGCAGCAACACATGAATAATGTATGGGACAGTTTACAGATCAGCCACTTCTGGATCAAGATTCACAAAACTAGTCTTAGTTCAGTACATCTCAGTTACATGACTAAAGTTCTCAGAACCACCAGTCACCCACATTATCACTATTCCATACTCTTTTGACTTTCCTCCCTCCATCGTTCTTAGAATTCATCAGAGAATATTACTATGTGTGTGATAAGTCCCAGGTTTTTGATTCATACAGGCTTTTTATAGTTGTATCCTTTTATAGCTAATCCTCTTTCTGACACATTATCATTATATTCAGATATGAAACTCTCCCACCCCCAGCTCACCTAAGAAACAAGTGAAAGCCTTTTGTATTTCCTGCCACATGGGTCTTGGCTTCTCAACATCACAGCTACCCTGTGGGAGTGGAAGTTGAAAATGCAGATTCTCTGGCTTCTGGGCCTTATTCGTTTATCAGGATCTTGTCTTGGGGGGGGTCAAGTGTTGAGTGAGCTACATTTGTACCAGATGACTTTAGTGATCCTAGAAGTTTCTCTGGATCCTCTTCTTCCCTCTCTCCCTCTTACACAGGGTGGCATCCCTGAGGCCTGTCAGCCCTATACGTGGCACTTGTAACCTGGGTCTTGCCAGTCATAGTATCACAACATAGAGAGTAAGTACACCTCTTCTGACTGGGAGGCGGTGGAGAGAATTAAGCCATATAAATGTCATTTTTTTCTCCAAATCTTTTCCATTCAGCAAATTGAATATTCAGGTATTTTTCTGAAGCAAGTGTGGTAAAGACAAAATGGTCAAAATTGGCCATAAATGCCACTTTCGACTTCCTCCTGCATTTTCAAGGCATTTAAGAGATGGAGGTTGATGGAAGTGGAAGAGTTACAGTTGAGTTATAGTTGGAAGTTATATTCTGCATCTCAAGGAGACAGCAGGCAGTTCACTTTCAAAACTTTCTTTACAACATTTACGACTTTTGGAGAATGTGGTTGTATTATTCATAACCTGTTGCTGTGACAGAAAAATTATAGACTTATTTTGAATCCCAGTTTTAAAGGTTTTAGTTCAAGATTCCTTGACCCTCTTGCTTTTGGGCCTGTAGGAAGGCAGTGTATCATAGAAGGAGCACATGACAAAGGAGACCCATTTACTTCATTATGGCCAAGAAGCAAAAAGAGAGACAGGAAGTGGACAAGGTCCTAATATCCCCTTCAAGGACATGTCACCCAAATGACCTAGCTTCCTTCTAGTAGGCTCCGTCTCTTAAAGGGTCTACCACTTCCAAATAACTCCACAGGCTAGCAACCAAGCCTTTAGCATTTAGACCTTTGGGGGACATTTAAAATCCAAACCATAACCTTCTGTCCCTGACCCCCAAAGACTTTATGTTTATTTCACAATACAAAATTTCTTTATTCTATCTCCAAGAGTCCCCAAAGCCTCAACAGTTCCAGCATTGCTTTAAAGTCCAAGTTCAAAGTTTCCTCTGAGACTCAAGGCAGACTCTAAGCTGTGAGCCTCTGGAAAAATAAAAATAAAAAATATAAGACTAGAGGCATGCCTGTAGCAGTAGATTGCCTGCGTTGCAAGCAGAAAGCACTGAATTAAAACCCCAATACTGCCCAAAAAAAGTAAAAAATAAAGATAAAAACAGGCTACATACATGCAAGATACAATTGCATAGGGTAAACATTCTCATTCTGAACAAGAGAAATAGGAAACTAGCAAAGAGGAATCGGACCAAAGAAAGACTGAAACCCAGCAGGACAAGTATTAAATCCTGTAGCTCCATGTCTGGCATTTGGAGCACATGGTGGCAGGATGTGGGCCCCTGATAGTTCAGGGCCTTGCTGTCTGCAGCCCACACGGCCTCTCTCCTGGGCTGGCTCTGTGCTGGGTCTGTAGCTTCCCTCCGCAAAGTGTTCCACCTTCCACTCATGTCTGCCTCCATGAGGTCACGATTTCAACTTCAGCTTCACTCTTACAGCTTTATACATCACCTTGTCGGGGTCTGCCTACAGGAACTCCAATCTACCAAGCACTGCCTGGCCTGCCAGGGGTTCCTTGGAAATCTTGGTGGAAGACACCACCATGACCCTGTAACTGTTGGATTCTGTATGCCTGAAAAGTCAGCAACACGTGAACATTGCCAAATCTGCCACTGACCCAAGCTGTTCCTTGGCTGCAGTGATCTCTGAGTGGTTGGACAGCTGAACCTGTGTTCAGAAATAAGTCTTGAGAAAATAATTCCTGCATCTACATGGTGCCCAGGGGCTATCTTCTCAAAAAAAAGTATTTGAGGGTGGGTACAGCCTTGCTGATTCCTGAGATCTTTCCTGTTATTCTGGTGCAATGTACATGGCTTCTTCTTGATGGTGCTAATCTGTTTAGCAACTTAACCCTCTTCTGTGGTAACCCTCTTCTGTGCTCCTTTTCTGGACAAACTGCAAGTTTTTCAGATCTTTCTGCTCTGTTTTTGCTCTCTATTTTCACTATAGGTCTACAGTGGGATCAGGCATGGTGGCACACATTTGTAATCCCACCTGCTCAGGCAGTAGAGGTAGGAAGATCAAAGTGCCAGTCTGGCTAAACAAAATGCTAACAATCACCTGAGCTTTTATTTAAAAAAAAAAGACTCAATATCTTCAAAATATAATAAAATAAGACATACCTGAATACATTAGCATTGTTTGTCTCTTTCAGATTACTGTGCAAGTAAATTTGCAGCCGTGGGTTTTGCCGAATCTATGTTTCTAGAAACATTTGCAGAAAAACAAACAGGGATCAAAACTACAATTGTGTGTCCATTTTTTATAAAAACTGGAATGTTTGAAGGTTGTACTACGAGGTGAGTATCCTTTTAAAAAGAATTGGCTATCTATTTAGTTTTGTTCTGTTTTTTAATGTTATTTCACAGATATTTTTATAGGATGCAGCCTGGTTTATAAAGGGTTTCAGAACTCTTTCTGCATGTGTGTTTGTGTTTAAGACACTGAGTTGAGTGCTAATGATTTGTCAAGACAGTGTCCAACTAGTAACCACCCTAGCCCTGGATCTACTTATCTGTGCCCCAAGCTGTCCTGGCCACAGCCCAACCCTCTCTGCCACCCAGTACCACTCAACCCTCTTCCCTGGTTCCAGGAACACTAGAAATTATTAAAGAAAAACCTAGTCAGTTCTAGCTCCTATAACAGAATGCCATCCACTGTGTGGCTTAAACAGTAGAAATGTCTTTCTCACCATTATAGAGACTAAAAGTCCAAGATCTAGTGACTGATAACAGCACTTCTCTTGGTTTGCATATGGCCACCTTCTTATGATAGTCTCCTCATTTGGCAGGGAGAGGAAGTGCCTGAAGAGAAAAAGAGAGATTGAGAGAGACCATTTTATGGCCCTTCTCTTAAGGGCACTAATCCCATTCATTAGCACTCCACCCCCATGACCCAGTTACCTTCCAAAGACTCCACCTCCTCATACCATCACACTGGGGACAAGGAGACAACTTCAGTCTCTAGCAGTCACAAATGCCCAGATCTGCACCTCATGGAGACAGCACAGGCAGTTTGTTTTCAGTGCCTTGCTTTACAACATTTAGAAAAAAATTTTAGTACAGTTTTGCACAGATGTTTATTTGTAACATCAGTGCATTAATTAGAATCATCATTTTCATTTCAAATTCTAGTTGTGTTATTACTCACCACATTAATAATAAGAAGTAAGCAAAGGAACAAATGAAATCTGAAAGGAAAAGAAATATGATTATTTCATAACCTTTTATCACTAATTTGAAGGGATTCTTTTTATTAATGTGAGGGTTTTTTTTTTTTTAATATCTTAGGTTTCCTACTCTGTTACCAATTCTGGAACCAGAATATGCAGCCAGAACAATAGTAGATGGTATTCTGAAGGAAAAGGTGTATTTGTATATGCCAAAGTTCTTATACATCTTGTTGTTTTTAAAAAGGTAACGTATCAGCTTTTCTTACTTCCCCAATGTGCCAATCAACAGTTTACTGCAGTTTACTGCAGAGCCCACCAGAAGGAGGCATAAAAGATATTTATGTCTTTTAAAGTAATGAATTTTAGAGAGGAAAATCTTCACATCCTGTTGATCCCATCTTTGGAACTGTTTGGGCACAACCCCAAATTTTCACAGTAGCAGTGCCCCCCACCAAGTTCAGGAGAAAGTATTGGCCACTCACCTTCCATCTTAGGTGTTACATTTTTGTTAACAAGAAGTGAATTTATGGAATTATCTGTGGACTTTTTTTTTTTAGAAGAGATGCTTTTTCTTGTAGATATCATAAAATGATCATGTTGGAATAGCTATTGTGTCCATGCTCCCAACTACAGGGTCCCAAAGTCAAGGCCAGCCAGTCAGCCAAAAAAGACCTCAGAAAATTGTGTATGAGTAAAATTGACAATAGATAATAAATTTGGTCAATAAGATGGTTAAAGAACTTGAGGGGAAAAAGTTCGAAGAAAACTAGCTCTTAAAAGAAAGACGACTAGGGGTGTAGCTCAATGGTCAAACACTTGCCTCCCATGCCTGAGGGCCTGGGTTTGATACCAGCAACAAAAATAAAAAGCATCCTCACCCATCCTCTGTGCTCTGCCTTGGGTTTCATCAGCTTATGAACATTTGACTCAGTTACAGGGTTAGCCATGCTGAACTGCTGAGCCAGCTGCTGGTTCGCCCTCTCAGTTTTCTTTCTAGATTGTGAAGGGTCATCTGTTTGTACTGCCACAATAGGGGCTTCTCCTTTGCAAAGAAGCACATCCCACTGTGACCCCATGGCCCTGTGTTGAATTGAAGTTGCTCTCTTATGTGTCTCACATTGGTTCTTTCTTTGCCTCCCAGCTCCATTCTACTCTTGACAACAGCAATTCCTCACTTATTTGAACATAGGTATTGTATTACATGTATACTTCATGTAGCATGCCTATCAACCACTGCCCTTCCTATATAAATTTCTTTTCTCATTAGCTAATTATATCTACTTTGTGCAGTGAACCAAAAGTCATTCTTATGTCCTCTCCCTTTTCCAGGCTTCATCTAGTACTATGATTATGTGGTCAATTGAGGCCATATGAGGCAGGGTAATGGGCCTTAGACAAGCAATTGGAAATCCAAAGTTATGATCCTGTTATTTACCAAGACTGTGATTCAGCCTGTGTTCTCCAAACCTCAGTTTCCTCATTTACGATGGGGAGACAGTGTTTGCCAGAGCTTAGTGTATGCACTGTTTATTGAGCAGTGTGTATATTCACAGCAGATATTTCTTGTCAGGTAGCAAATTGTAGTTTTGTAAAGACACCGCTAAGAATATGAGGCTTAATTTTTTATTCTGAATAACTAGAGGTTATATTTGCTTTCATGGCCTATCAGTTCTAGGCCATGTTTTGAGAAAAGTTCCTGAGAAGACTAGAGGAAACAAGAAGGGGCTTAGTGAAAGAGATCACATCAAACACTCCTTCCAATATTGATTCAATAAGCATTTGAGAGTGCTGTATGCCGTGCACCACTCTCCTTCTTAGGATCTGGTATTACAGCAAAGAAAAGACAACAGCAGTTTCTGTTATCATGGAAATTGTCTTCTGGGGCCGGGGGTTATCAGAGAAGAAACATGGAAAAGAAAAGGCACACTAGGGGCAGTCATAAGTACTGTGAAGAGGTATAAAGCAAGAAAAGGGAATCTCAGAGTGATGGAGATGGGCAAATGGAAGCAAGTTAAGGCAAGTGTGATGCTGGGGGAGAGGCTCCCCAAGAAGTTAATGCTTGACCAAACTCCTGAAGATGGGGAGAGCTAGACCCACCTGGAGATCTTGTTGCACCTATACAAAGAGACACCTATACAAAGAGGACACATGCAAAGCGTCCTCTTCTTTACCCCACTCTCCACTCTTAGGACAACTCTCAGGTCTACTACACCTGCTTTGTCCTTTTCCTTACCTGCAGTGTTGGGTGTCAAGATCAGCAGGGTGTGAGTGCTCGGTCTGAATTATGGTCATAGGTGTTGGTAGACTTGCAGAGGAGCAAGGAGACGAACTGTCTTAGTTCAGCCTTGCCAAAATCATGAGGAACTGTTGCATCTCATCCTTACAGTAGTCCCAGAAGAAAAGATGGATGCTCCCATTTTTATATGTGAGGAAACTGAGGTTGGCAAGCCAAGTCAGTTGCCTGAGCTGGGACTTCAGCCAGATGCATCTACCTCCAAATCTGTGCTAGGCACAAGACTCCCATTTTCTTCCCATTTACCATGCAGTTATGGTAGTGATGCTTTGGAAACTGAAATGTGAAGTAAATTGAATAATTTAAGTAGATCTAGGAGAGCTGAAGAGCCCTGACTGAGTGGCTCCCATATACATCCCCCATAGATGAGACCTAGTGACCCTGAGAGGGTTAGCACTGAGGCTGCTTGATGTGTGCATGAGTGGGTGACTTCATCTGTGACAGTAAGTGACAGTTTTTAGTTGAGCTAATAAAGATGCTCTCACAAATCATAACCAAAAATTTTTCTTGTGTTCTCCAGTTTCCTGCCTATCAAGACAGGACTGCTTTTAGGTGACTATATGGGCATCTTTCATTCAATGGATGGCTTCACTGGGCAAAAGAAGAAAGCCTAAAGACCAACTCTGTGTCTGACATCATCTGATACCCAATGCTACATCATGCTTATTTCAAAGAATAAGTCTTTTTGTCCAACAGTAGAATGTATCCGGAGACAAATACAATTCATATTATGCTATCTGGACTAGAATTTTCAGTCAATGGCTTTGAAAATAATGTTGCTATCTACTTTTTTTGTTGAGTTTTGGTCTTGTTGTTGTTTATTTGTTTGAAAAATGGCCCATTTTTGTCATTTCTATTTGCAACAGATGCGAGAGAGAAATAACTTCTTGCCTAAGCTGCTATAGACTTTGGTGGTTGGGGAGGCGGCTCCCATACAGGTGGTGGCTGTGGCTGATAGGGATACAGTGAGCAACTGGCAGAATGCTCTCTGTCCAGAGCATACAGAGGTCTGGATTTCCATTGCCTTGCTCTCAGCTTTGGCCACTTTGAATGGGGACCACCATTGAAGAAAAGGCCAATCTCTTGTGCCTTTCTTTCCAAAGGAGCTTCACAAAGGTTTACTGCTAAAACCAAGTGCCACCTTGTCAACTGAAGGTCTATCAGGTGCCATTGTACTAGGGAACTTTACCAGGCTCTTCCTGACAGTGATCCTAAATGAAATTCTCAGATGGGATCACATTTTTTTCTAAGAAGAGATCAAAGAATGGTTGCTGCTTCTTCTGAAAATGAAGTTTTATTGAGTCAGATTTACTGCTACCAATTGTTTAAAAAATTCATGTGATTAATTTTCAGTGTTTAACTTAGTAGTTCAAGTTGGTATTTTTCCACAGAATGAGCAATTTCGCACATCAGTATTCATCAAGGCTGCCCTCACCTCCAAGCATTGTGTTCCTGCAGTTTAATCAACTGGCAAACTGCTTTCATGCCTTGGAGATTTACTATAAAAGCAAGATTAAGAAAAATATGTTAATTATCCTATCCTTGGAACTCCTCCCCAGTGGTGGGGGCATCTGCTTAGTGAGAGAAACAATAGCCTTTTTGTCTTCTGCTTTCTTAGAGGGAGCAGATTGGGATGAGGTGCTTTGGAAGAACTTGTAAGATCCAAAAGAATCAAGTGTTTGATTCTTGAGTGTAAGATGCTCTAAGGGGCAATGGTCTCCAAGTATTGTGGCTCTGGAATTCACTGTGGATGGGTCGACCTTAAGTGAGACGCATGATCCTGACAACTCAGTTCCTGTTCCTTTCCACTCAGCCTTAAATTTTGTTTTATGACTACAGTAATGATAGCTAGTATTTACTCTACCAAGCCTCAAATAGCACTTCACAAACAAGTAAACAAGAATATCAGTATTCAGTAAACAAGAATATCACATCATAACTCAAAGAATGAAGAAGGTATTTGGTATATGCCAAAGGACACAAGGCACTTTATTTCACAGAAGCATCCTGCTCAGCTGTAGATGTGTACCAAGAGGATCAAAGGCCCTCTCAGTCTAACCAACTGAAGTTCCAAATCCTCAATTAACAAGGTTAATTAAGAGAGAGGCACAGTATTGCTTCTATATTACAATTCTAAGAGCGTATATTCTGGGGCCTTTCTATTTATTAGAAGAATAAAGAAGAGACTCTCAGGAGATTTAGCAGAACAAAAGTCTGGGGGAGGCAAGTGGGCATCCACCACATCATAACAGCATTAACAGCAATTATTTCTAATTGGAGTGCATCTTGGCTGGGCTGCTACCAAAGGCCTGAAATACAATTGTGGTTTTATAAAACCCATAAAATTGTCTAAACAAATTCAGATTTACTTGAGGCACTCTTATGAGAAGAGACCACGTGTAAATTAGTGGATTCTAGAGAGTAATAAATAACAAGGTGATTTAATGGCCCTGGAGAGCAAGTGCTCTCTGTTTCATACCCACGTTCTGCTGAAATTTAGTCATGAATGACCCATGATCAAGGCCTAACATCTAAGAAAGTCTGAAGGAATCAAGGGCTGCAGGGCCAGGGCTAAGCCCCAGGACTGGGCACTGTGTCCTCCAGGACATATTCTCCAGCATCCTGGCCATTATGCTGCTCAAAAACCAATAAGAATTCTTGCTATTAGGAATTTGGAAAAAATATGTGACCTTTTTTGTTATTCTTTATTTGTTTTTGTTTTTAGTGTGGTTTTACATTGTGTTTTCTATCTTAGTCATACAAGCTGCCATAACAAATATCACAGACTGGGTGGCTTATACAACAGAAATTCATTTCTCATACTTCTGGAAGCCTAAGATCAAGGTTCCAGATGATTTATTTTCTTGGTGATTGTTCTTTTCCTGCCTTGAAAACAGCCGGTTACTTGCTGTATCTTCATATGACCTTTGTTCAGGGTGCATGGAAAGACAAAGACCTTCATCTTCCTATAAGGACAATAATTCCATCATGAGGGTCCCACCCTCATGCTGTCATTTAATCCTAATCACCATCCAAAGCACCCACCTCCTATACCATCATATTGGAGGTTAGGGCTTTAACTTATGGATTTGGGAGTATGAGGAACACAGACATCTAGACCATAGGCAGATGCCAAAATAGAAAAGGGAAAGATCATGTCTGGCCCTTATACTCCTTAGTGGCCTGACACTAGAGATATCCCCAGTCCATTCAGTGAAATTATTTACATAGAATCTTGAAGGCAGAGTGAATTGGGGATTCTTAGAGAACTTAATTCCAATCTGAAGGTCAGCACTTGAGAAAACTTGCATGCTTAAAATGTAGGTCACTAAGCAAAACTGATATGAGCAGGACATTGTAAGCAGAGCCACTCTCTTGCATGAATAAATGG